AGAAATGCCCACCCGGTATATTCAAGGGAAGTCAGACACTTTTTTTTTCTAACCGTAAAATCTTGAGTTCTATTAAACACACAAGCAGATGTGGGTGTGCATGTCAGTTACAAGTCAGTTGAAACACTCCCAAGTGTGGCCTATGGGCTGCCGGCTGAAGACTTCTCTCCTATGTCTTTTAGTATAACTCCTGCTATACGCCTAGGAGATAACCCCCTGACACAGTGGGGATAATTATTCTGATTTTATGACACTTTCTGGTTAAAAAGAAAACACTTTTTACTTGAACATATAAGATTTTATTTTTGTTCTAGATAAGTTTTGTTGAGAAAAAGTCAAAAGTTTTGCTTTTCTTAAATTTTTGTCTCTCTTTCTTATACCAGTTCACAGAGTATGCTTTATGGTAGCAAATGTCAACATTCTAGAAATAATATTTATATGTTATTAAGTCTCCATTGATTTAGTGTTGCTGTAGTCCATCAGGTTTATTTTGAAGAAAGACTGAATTCAAGGAAGTAATTCTAAACAAGTGTGAATTATTAAAATTTTTTGGAAACTCAGAAAAGTTTAGAGGGAGATAATAGCTGTATAGGTTTAATGAAAACAATAGTCTGATAACTCTTTCTGACAAAAGGTTAACACACTTGAAAAAGAACAGAAATTGAAACAACGTGTTGAAAATCTGAATCAAATTGCTGAAAAGCTTGAAGAAAGACATAATCAAATCACAGAACTGGAGAATCTTGTACAGAGAATGGAACAGGTAGGCCTCTGGAGAATTAAAGGGATTTCTTCCTGACAGGGTTAGGGTGAGAATTAAAGAAGATAATATGAAAATAAATAACATTAAGTGAAAGTGTTCTTTGCAACTCCTAAGATCTTAGGATGTACTCAGTAATGTTCATTTCTTCCCTTACACATTTAATATGATGTGTATTGTAGTTACTGATTTACCTCCTTACAAATACTGCAGTTGAATCATTATCTGTCACTTTTTTTTCTCGTAAATGTATGGCTTAGAAAGGGGAAATATGTGAGGCTATGAATAGAAATAATGGAAAAGATCACAGAGTCTACCTACTGCTATAGTAATAATATAGCGAATCCCTGTAATTGCAGCATTTTTATGTATTGGAGTCAGTGAAGTGTTTATTTTTGGCCACCCAAGTCCCCTTAAGATTTACAAAACCCTATGGCTGCCCTAGGACAGGTAGAGTTCACAATTAAGAAAAGACATTCTTGGGACTTCCCTGGCAGTCCAGTGGCTAAGACTCCACGTTCCCAGTGCAGCGGGCACGGCACACGGCTTGGCCAAATTTAGGGAAGAGTAATAATAGAACAAAAGTTATTAAAAGTTTCATGCAGTGTTCCTTTAAGTAGCTGCCCCTCCAAATACACACAAAAGGTGAGCACATAAATTTCGTTTTGCATGCCTTAGAATTTAGAATTCAGATAAACCAAGCAATATTTTTTAATAGTAAAACAAACCAATAGAAAACTGGCATCTTTGAAACTGAGTTGGAGTAGATAAGAATACAGACTTTAACTTCTAGTAAATATTGCCCAGTACATTTTTATATTTATTACATGAATTCCCTGATTTTCCTCTACTCTGCTCAGTCTTACTTTTTTTTTATGAGTCTCCTTGAATTGAGACTATTTCAGAAATATCACTTCAAAGGCATCACATTTCCACATTCAGGATATTTGCCTGAGAAACCTTGATTAATTTTTTACATATTTCCCAAGAATTTAATTTATAACACTGTGAGTTTGGCTGAATTTGTGATCTTAATGAAGGTCCTGTGAGGAAATCACGAAAATTAAATAAGCCCAACCTTAACTACATCTAATAATAATAATATACAGCTACATCTGTGTTGTACGGTGGGTGATGCTGAGTGTTTTACTGTAGCCAAAATCACAGGGCTAGAATGTCCTCAAGTAGCTGGTTTGCCCTCGTGTAACAGTGTATAATTATGATGTTTTGGACAAACTGTAACATTTGGATGAATACTTTGCAATGTTAGAATATTTATCCTGTAATAAATAGTTTAGCAAACTAAGACAGCACAAGGAACGTTTGCATTTTGGAAAGGAAGACAATTCTGGAATGCAAATAGGGTTGTTTAATCAAACTACCTGATTAACCAGCTTGACATTTAAATTTAGATTTGCGATCATCGCAAACGCAGTAACACTGGGTCATGTTTACTGGTCAGCTGTCAGTCCCTGAAAGTTAACCAAAAAAATAGTGTAATGTAGTTTCTAACTTCTAGAAACCCCAGGAAATCTGTACTGGATGTGAGTTCATCTCAGAATTCCGGGGTATAGTCACTGGACTATTTAGTCAACAAATATTTGAGCTCCTACCGTGTACCAGGCAGAGTTCCAAGCTAGATATCTATTTGTGAATGAGCCAGATACAGTCTCTTTGTGGAGATTGCAATGTAATATATCTGGGTTGTGTGAGACTCAAGGAACTGCCCAGATCTCCTTTCATTCATTCTCCCAGGGGTCCTTAGGGAAGCTGACATCCCAACTGAAGGTAGGGATAGACCCCAGAATAAGGTTAAGTGGCTTAGAGACTGGCAGACATTTTTGAGAAGTGATGGCCTAGCATTTGTCTTGATATTGACCCATAATGGAGAGCTGTCTCTAGGAGCTCTGTGACATAGTAAGTGGACAGAATGCCCATGGTTCAGCAAGGCCATGCAGGAACCTTCCAGAACATTCTAGTCCAGTGACTTCCTAGAGTGGAGTCTTTTGGAATCTCTGGGAGGTGGAGGTAGGTGGGGATGCAGTGGAAGGAAAATGTGCAGGAGTTTTATTTTTTAAACATATTTAGTTTAAAGATACATTACATTTGTAAAGTGATCAGGCAAATAAATAAAACTATAAGAAGCAAAGCTTGGTAACGTCTTGGTCTAAGGAGATCCTGAGGATAAAGGCTGTGATGAAGGGTTTCTCAGGAGGGAAGTGTGTATCGGAATGAGAGGAGGGGGTACTGAGACCTTTGTATTAATAAGAAAAGGCCATGAGTTCAAAAAGGAAATGAAAATTAAAAATAAACATCCACAACAAAGGTTGGTAAATACTGCCCTGGTGGTGGGTACCCCCTGGAGAAGGCTTCATTTTCTACTCACTTGCGCAAGCCACTGCTCCAGTGAATAGCCATTAGTGGTGTGAGGTCTGGTAATGAACGCATTACTTAAAACCTTCACCATCTGTCCCACTGTAATCAGGAATGCAGTGAGAATGAATTCCATAAACACAGTGATAAGCCAGCAAAACCGCCCAATAAGAGCATTTTAATATGGCATATGTTCCTTTGGCTGGCAGTGCACTTCTGTTGCATCATATTTGTTTTCCAGTGTCATTGATTTAGCTCTATTAGAATTTTAGAGCTCAAAGGCTCTTTTGAGACCACCTAATTCCTCATCATCATTTTATAAACGAGGACAGTGCAAATGAGGGACTATTCCACAGTCCTCCACTTAGCAGTTCACAATCCTTTCCATTATGCCCACATCTTCTCTGATGTGGGATAAAAAGGATGCCATTGGTTCCTAAATCATTTAGATGTTAACATATGGCAATGATTTAAGTTGGTGTCCACTCCACCTTGATCAGTAAGGTGAGGGAACTCTTATGCTCTTCAGAGGTGTGGTTTTGGCAAGAGTGGATTGCCCACTGGGTGGTGCTATGAACGCCTTTCCCTTCCCAGAAGACACTGTCCCTGAGAAGTGCTAGCTGATGTAGTGTGATTTTCCGTGTTGTCAGAGAGGCAGCATTAAGAGTCCAAGCTACAGGGACCTACTGTATAGCACAGGGAACTCTACTCCATATTCTGTAATAACCTATATAGGAAAGAATATGAAAAAGAACGGATATACATGTATGTATAAATGAACCACTTTGCTGTACACCTGAAACTAACACAACATTGTAAATCAACTATACTCCAATATAAAATAAAAATTAAATTAAAAACAGAGTCCAAGCTAAATACTGAGGCTTGACCAAGGCAGAACATTTATTTGTCCAGCTGTCTGGTCTCCTTGAACCCTGGTGATAAAGATTCATGAATTGAGAGTAAGTCCATTAGAAAGAATGTTTGTTAAACACCATTTTTCCTCCTATAAATTCAAAATATATTATCAGTGATGTGTTTCTTTGATGACCCAAGTGTCATAATAAGCTTGCAAAGAGTATCTTGATCCCTCAGATCAACTAAGGCTACACCAGAACAATATCTAATATATGTGACAAGAATGCTACAGGAAATTTTTGAAAAAAAAAAGTATAAATTTTAAAAATAACAGAGCACATAAGATATGAAGTATTTGGCACCTTCAAATTATTATATAGTGAGGTCCTAATATGTTTCAGAGAAGCATGTAGACCTTTCACATACATCTCCAATCATCCCAACATTTCAATATAGATAGTATTATCCCTATCTTAGGGATGTTCAAAAAGTCAAAAACATGACTCAAACAAATATAGAATGAATACATGTCAGATGTTTTAGTCAACTCATTAATTAATGAGGGAACCAGTAAGATTGTAAAGCTGGTTTAAATAAAATATTTTTTGAAATTGGCTATTTACATGCATTTTGAAAAAAGGAATGCAGAATAGGATTACTAGGTTAGATACAAAGGTAGTTAATATTCTTTAAGGCAATAAACCATAACCTTTGGGATTACCTTTTCTACCAGGCAGAAACCCACAAATTAACATGCAACTTCACAAAGTCAGGGCTCTAATCAAATAATAAATAATAAAGTCACACGCAAAGAAATTCTCCAAGAGAATTAAAAAAATCCTTGTGTCAGGTTATTAAACAATGGCCCAATATGACATTAAAATAATATATTTTGATTTACAAGGTTTGGTTAATTTTTCTTAACAGTGATAAGGTATAGAGGGGTTAAAACCTTGGCAAAACTTAACACAGTCACCAAGTTTCACAACCAGGTCTGTCCATGTCCAAAGACATTCTGAGATTTTTGCTATAATGGCACTGCCTTGTATTTTACCCATATAAATACTACAGAAGGAATGATTTTAAACAGCATTGTAAATACTGTCAAAACATCTATTTCCATCAGATATAAAAAAGAACACAATCCTCCCAGCTTGGTTTTTCAGGGACTCGTCTATTTTCCTGTTGGATGTAGAGAGTTTGCTTTAATGGTGACAATCAGACATTTCTTTAGGGATTCTTTCACAATGTCAACATTTCTGTTATATCCTAATTAGGAAGTGACTTTATCACTTGTGGCCTTGATCCTTCACTAAATATACATTTACTACTTTTCTACCTCTGACAGACGCCATGTAAGCAGGTAGGTATCAAGACAAGTGCAATGATAACCTTGGATACCAACAACTCAGACTACCGCCGGAGAAGCAGGTGGAATGATGGGAGAGCCAGTGTCTAGAGAGAGATGGGCAGGCAGTTAGCATTTAGGGCGGGATGGAGAGACAGAAGAGAAGTTTGACTGAGCAGTGGACTGGGGGAGGGGCCAAAGCGAAGCTCTCCAGAAAAACGTGGGCAGTGAAGACAACTAGTCTTGCCCTGTCCTTGAGCGACTTACGTTACCGAGTCCAAAACCGCTCTGCTCGCCGCACGAAGGCTAATAAATTGGAGATGAGGTGTCGAGGCAAGGAACATGACTCTATTCGGAAAGCCGGCAGACGGAGAAGACGGCGGACTAAAGTCTCAAAATAACCATCTTATCGGGGTTTGGATGCCAGTTTCTTTCATAGCACAGAGGGGAAGGAGATGAGGAAGTAAAGTAAAAAGGCCGTAAGTTTTGCAAATATCACCTGGAATGGCCAGCCTCGTCCACGGGTGGAACAGGGTCTGGATGTTTTCCTGAACAGAGGCAGTTTGGTTTAACGTTCAGGCAGAGGGGCAGGGTTCCCCGAGGCAGGCCGTTATGTATAGACAGTATCCTTTTAGTGAACAAAAGCAGTGGAAAGCAAAGGTTAAAGTAAAAGAAACAGATCCAACATGTAGTCAGATCTGGCTCTTCCCTGTTAACACTTGTAAACCATGCTGGAGAATGCCTGCCCCGGACTTCACTGGGGTGGGTTGTAACAGCTCCATACGAAACGAGCTCTTTAGCTCAAAACATATTTCTAGTATTACAAGAAGCATCTTTTGCGAACAGTTTGCAAGAATTCCTTGCTGAACACACACACACATAGAGAGAAAGAGAACGAGAGAGAGAAAGACAGAAAGAGAGAGAGAAATAAAGGAAAAGAAATGAGCAAAAATTGTATTTTATTTTCTCCTAGGAAAAGAGGACACTGCTAGAAAAAAAACTGTCTTTGGAAAACAAGCTGCTGCATCTCAAATCCAACGCTACATATGCTAAAAGGTTTGCAAATCTCCTAAGTAAAAGCAGTTCCTGGTATCTTTCCTGTCTTCAGGTCCACTGACCAGTGGATAGAAGGCAACTATCCCCCAAGGGAAAGGAAGCCTGAAAGTGCAGGAGGAAGGGAGATTTCTTAGCATTAACAGCCATGTGCCTCTCCCTCCCTACCCACTGGGGAATCTGGATGGGGCAGAGGTCACTGGGGGTACAGGGAAACTGGTGTGTGGATATGTGTGTGGTGGCTCGTTAATCCTTTTGAAGAGTGAATGAGGCTGTCCCCTCCCTGTTTACCCTTGGTACTGAAGAGGATGCTGTTGAGGTCTCCATTCCCCTGATGCTTCTGATTTTGTTAATGGATCTCCGCTACAGCTGGCCTTAAATTAGCTAGCCCGCGAGTGGAATTGTAAGATAGTTTTGTCGTGCTCCCAACTTCGTAGAGAATGAAGGAAATACTGTGAAAAGCATCCTTAGTTCTTGGGACTTACTTACAAATACTCGTAATTCACAAGCAGTCCTGGTCCTTGTGTGCTGGGGTAGGGATGGATTTATGGGTTGATGGATATCGAATGGCTTGATTACTTGGCTGCTGTTAGAAAAATTCTCTGGAATATCATAGAATAACTCATATCATATGAAATTTCCTGAACTTTTTCTTTTCTTTTCTTTTCCTTTCCTTTTTTCTTTTCTTTTAATTCTAAGCCTACCACAATCATTATATATTCTGATATAACATTCAAAGTCAAATCTGTTTCAAGGTCTTAGTTCATCCATCTAGAGCTCTTGCTCTAGGCACTATTATGAATCTCAAAATGTACACATTCTCATTCTCATTTATTCAATAACATCTGCTCAGACATCACTTTCTCTTGGTCTTTTGATTTTTTCCTGTCTCCTTTTCGTTTCCCATTATCTCTCTTTCTCTTCATTGGACCTCATAAGATGAAGTCCAGAACTGGGCTGACTCTGGCAATTGTTCCTACATATTTGAAACACACTGGGATACCACTGATATTAATTTCCTCATACGCTTTCCTGTGAACACGCATATAGCCCCAGAAGGTGGATTTCTGAGTTTCATAGCACTGTACGTCTCTGTAGAGAATAAAGGAAATATTATGGAAAATATCCATAAGTCTTTGGAATTACTTGTATATACTCATAATTTAACTCTAAGTAAATTTTTGGCTTACCTCTTTTTTTTTTCTCCCCTAAAGAGAGTTTTTCTATGCCGCAGAACTACAGCTGGTACACTGTGCCTTCCATTAAGAATCCAGACAATGAGTTTGATTTATTCTTTAAAACATGACTTTTTATTGATAATAGAGGTTTTGTCAGTCTTTGAGCCAAAAATGTAATGGTTTTAATAACCAAACTGATCTATTCTTTCAGTTCTATTATATATGAGCAGTCAGGATAAAGAATTCTCAAAAAGCTCTTGAGGAGGTTTTAGAAATATCTTGAGGGAAATGGAGCTTCTGTGTTTCCAGAAAGGTGTTTGAACATCCTGGCTTGTGCAGTTTTCATAAATTGTAGGTGTCACAAATATTTATTTTACTTGTTATTCTGAGCCGTGTGTAGAGGTATTCACTTTGCTAAGTGACAAGAAAATGAAATCAGTATGAGTCAGATTCTTTTAGTTAAAGCAACAGAGACTTGGTTAAGCTACCATCAATAGGATTTCTGTTAGGTTAAGACTGAATAGATATGGCCATAGAGAAGATGTACTCATGGGAAGACAGGAGGACAACCCTTTAGCACCTAATGTGATTTGAAAAACCAGATTCTTTTGCTGATCCCACTTAGTGATGCGTGTTTATGCAGTTTCACTCTTTTCTTGTTCGTCCTGGATGATTCATTACCTTTTCCCACCATTTTTCACCAGCTGGTTTGTATTCTCTGTATTTTCCTTTCAGATTCCAGAGGAAAGAGTCTGACTGGCCTAATACTTCTTCCTGTATTGGACAGATAGAGCATCTTGACCAACCCCTGCATTGACATCCAACCAATAGCCTTTGGCAGGCGTCCCCTCCCATCCTTGTGGGTGGCCTCCCCTTACTCAAAGAATAGCCTAGGGCTTCTTCCCTGAGCAGGGGGCTATGGGTGATTTAATTTCCCTTAAACATAGGTAGTTTGATAGGTGCCATGACTTTCTTGAATTGCAGTGAGTTTCATTCTACAATTTTGATAAAGAGATAAAAAAATTCAATATGTTGTAACTTGGCATTTCTAATATTAGAAAGCATCTCTGAGGATGATAACTTTTAAGCTTTTATAATTCAGAAGAAAAAGAGTTTCTTCTTGCATATGGATATGTATGTACCATTATATTAAGCTAATCCTCACAATTACTTTTTTTTAACATCTTTATTGGAGTATAATTGCTTTACAATGGTGTGTATGTATATGTATAGCTGATTCACTTTGTTACACAGCAGAAACTCACAATTACTGTTAATGGGAGTAAAAAGGTCTTTTTTAAAAACAAGGTTGACCCCATATTTCTACTACCATCCGGTACTAACTGACACATGCATAGTGCCTTTCAGTTTATAAAGTAACCTGAGGTACCTTATTTAATTTCATCTTTCCATGGACCTTTCAGGAAGGAAACAGAGCTTCTAATTGGTTACATGACTTGTCAAGATCGCTCAGCTTTCCAGAAGTTGTAGGGCTGGGAGTTTGGGCTCTAGCATTGCCGTAGCGAAGCCTGTGCTTGTTCTTCTCTAGAGGAGACTTGACTTTTTTTCTCTTATTTCTGGAAACTCCAGAGACCTTTTCTCTGACTGGTTTCCTCAGTCCCCTGTGTGGCTACGAGCAGAAGGCAGTTTTCCAACTTCTCTCTCTGCCCTGTGATGTCACAGACAAACACACAGGCCCATTTTAGAGTTATCCGGCGCATTCCTTAGAGGAAGGAACAGGGTATCTTGAAGATGTGGTTGCATGTCAAAGCATACTGTTGTTACTTACATTTATCTTTGGTAGTTTTTTTTTTTTTTTTTTTTC